CGGAAAATACAAGTCTTCCTAACCTGTAATTTCAGCACAGAGATCTTAAAGTGGCACTAAACTCAGGAGTTCAATCTTAAAAATCCATTCAAGTACACTATATTGCCAAAAGTATTGGGACACCCCTCCAAATCATTGGATTCAGGTGTCCCAATCACCTCCATGACCACAGGTGTATAAAATCACGCACCTCGGCATGCAGACGCTTCTACAGACATTGGTGAGAGAACGGGTCGCTCTCAGGAGCTCAGTGACTACAAGCGTGGTACCGTGATAGGTTGCCACCTGTGCAATAAGTCCATCCGTGACATTTCCTGGCTACTAAATATTCCACGGTCAGCTGTTAGCGGTATTATAACAAAGTGGAAGCAACTGGGAACAACAGCAACTCAGCCACGAAGTGGTAGGCCACGTAAAAGGACAGAGTGGGGTCAGCGCACAGTGCGCAGAAGTCGCCAACTGTCTGCAGAGTCAATATCTACAGACCTCCAAAATTTGCGTGGCCTTCAGATTGGCACAACAACAGTGCGTAGAGAGCTTCATGGAATGGGTTTCCATGGCCGAGCAGCTGCATCACAGCGTTACATCACCAAGTGCAATGCAAAGCGTGGGATGCCGTGGTGTGAAGTAGCCACCACTCCAAGCTCACTCCCGGGATGGACAACAATCTCAATACAAATGAGTAAACTAAACATGAGATTGTAGTCTATTACGGGAGTGAGCTTGGAGCAGTGACTACTTTACAACACACACAGGGACCATGGGGAACAAAAGTAGCCCCCCTCCAGAAGGAAGGACAGTGTCAGCACCAATTCAGAGATGATTGGAGGATCTACTGCTGAGTGATCCACAAATAAGATACATTATTGTTAATAGTTAAAGTATACATAAATCAGAAAAAAAAAAGTATACTTGAACCCTCTGGGTTTTTTGCATATATCTACTGCTAGCAAGCGAGCGGCCGTGAAGGACCATTGGACGGACGCATGCGCAGTAGAGATCTTCAGCCAGGAGAAGAGGTGAGACACAGGGTAAGTCAATGCTTGCAGCCGGCACCCACACAGACACCGTGCGACACAGAAGACGCAGGAGTCGGCTCTGTATGAGAGACCGCCACCAGCGCTGGAGGGACTCCTGAAAAAGATGATCAGATCAAGGGGCATAATTTAAGGTAAGTCCTTAAAGCAGCATTCGGGAAGGGGGGCACTTAAAGGTATTTTAATTTATTTTTAAGATTTAAAGGAGAACTATGAGGTGAGTGATTTTCACTCACCTCATAGTTCTAGCCGACCTGTGCCAATGAGACTGTCACAGGTCGGCTCAGTAGATTGGGAGGTGAGCGAACACATACCGGCGTTCGCTCACTTCTCGATCCTGTCACGGCTCCCTGCTGTGATGGGAGGGGCTGGATTCCCCCCTCCCCGCTCCGATCCTCCAGCGCTGACTGGTGGAACGGACGGGGGAGGGTACAGCTGGCTCTGCCTCTAGATAGGCAGAGCCAGCTGTCACTCACGCAGCTGGGCGGATACAGACATAATTGTCGGGATCCGCTTCAGCTGCGGCGTCTCAGTATATAGTGAGCTGTAGCTCGCTGTATACTGAGCTTAGGGTGACGGGAGGACGCTAGTTTGTGTCCTCCCGTTAACCTAAGGAGAACTATGAGGAAAAGCCCTAACCCCATAGTTCTCCTTTAACTCCTGAGTTTAGTGTATAGTGGTATAAATCTGCTTTTCATCGGTCACTCCAATATCATGGAGGGAGCCGTTTTGTGAGCTAGACCAACTCTGAGAGTGTCACTGTAAAGCCGATGGAAACATCAACTGACTGGCATTTAATTTGCTAAAACCCTGTGTAACATAAACAGCTTCTATTGTAACACTGTCTGTATTGGCCATAGCAGCCAGTCACTTTGTACTACTTATGCTGGAATGTGATTGGACAACAAAGACGCTTTTCTGTTCTCTCCATCACCCTCCCCTGTCTGTGTCTCTTGTAGGAGTCTCCGATTTAATTTACGACAACAAAACGGAATCCATGAGGACCATTAATATTCTGGAGAGGATGAACGTGTACCAGGAGGTTCTCCTGGCCGTTATCTACAGAACCTTTAATCTCTGGGTGAGACTTTTTTGTATTTAGGAATACACTGTATGTATGAATTTGTTTTAAAGAGGACCTACCAAAAACTGACACCCACCGCTCCAATATGTCCATGTGTGACATTAAACATAACACTTCCTAAGATCCCGTTCACGCCAGGGTTTCCGCACTGATCTCAAAAGGGAGGTTTTAGGAGTTTTTTTAATTATTTCGGTTTATTGGATTTTTCAGGTAATATACAAAAAACACAATACAATGACAGGGGGTAGATTATCAGTGCAATCAATATGTAACAGTATTTTAGTGAGTCAATGCCCCGCGTGTCGGACAGACACAGTATAAATATGAAGGTTCAAGGCTTAAGCGTTATCCGGTCGCGCGCAATCTCACATTGTATGTTCGGGCTGGGTGCTATCCTGTGCGAATGGCTGTGTAGCCACCTAATAAACATATAAGTACAATACAAATAAACAATACGGATAAACCTAGGACCCCCAAACGTGTTATCCTCTCAGGAGTAGGCACATATCAACTTTCACCAGGGCGAGTCTCATATCCTTGTTGACCATCTCAGATCATACCTCTATGTCAAGCAAGTGAGAACGGTAAGTAGCAGAGTCCTGAAAGGCCAACCAGCACGCCCATTTCTTATAGAAGGTAGAGTACAAGTCCTTGGAGGTGTACAACAATTCCTCCATCAGTTTGATGTTGTCCACTTTCCGAAACCAGTCCTGCATGGAGGGAACATTGGCAGATCCCCAGCATCTCGGTATGAGAGACTTGGCCGCATTCAGCAGGCATGGGACCACGGATTTCGGTTTTAGGAGTTTTGAATTGCTTTTCAGTGCTGAAACGCAATTAAAGATGCCCAAAACCACGCTGATCGGCGGTTTGGATCGCACTGAGCTGTGTGGGGGCATGAATGGTCCCCCATAGCAATGTATTGGATCGTTCATTTCGGCGGATCCGTGCGGCCGAATTGCCTTGGTATGAACGGGGCCTTACTAGTCAAAGGAGTTCCATTGGAAGTCCTCCTCACGCTGTTCTCCTCCTGCATGTCCATCTTGGATTGCGTCAGTGAGCTGGCTGCCTCTTCCCATCTCCCCGCTCTCTGCCAGGTACTCTTCACTGCCTCCCTCGCTATATAAATGTCTTGAATCTTACACCTGCCTAGATAACATATAGCTGTCATCTATGCAGGCTTGAAATATCGCAGTGTTTCCACTTCCGGTAAACTACAGTCTTCTGATGTAGGTGAGGTGGCCCATCAGTACATCAGCCTCACCTAAGCGAGGAAGGAAAAAAAAAAGGTGTTAACTAAGGGGGGAATTCTGTAAAGAATTGGTGATTGTACAAGGGGGAGGAAAAATATTGGAATAAATTAATTTAGTGCTGAAAGGTCTGCTTTAAAGTAGAATTAAACACTCGTTTTTTTGCATATATCTACTGCTAGCAAGCAAAAAAGTTACCAAATAGGTATTTACTTGCCTCTGTCTCCGCCGCTCGCTCCCGTCTGAAGATCTGAAGATTCTCGAGCGGTTGTGAAGGATCATGGGGCGGGCGCATGCGCAGTGGAGATCTTCGGCCAGGAGAAGGGGAGAGAGTCAATGCAGGCAGCCCGGCAGCGTGCATGCGCACAGACACTGTGGGACAAAGAAGACACAGCAGTCAATGCTGGATCAGAGACCGCCACCAGCGCTGGAGGGGCTCCTGCAAAACTGCAGGAAAGAAGATGATCGGATCAAGAGACATAATTTAAGGTAAGTCCTTAAACCAGAAAAACTAAAACAAAACAGAGTATTGCAGTGTGCGATGATACCTTTCTTATTGGACTAACAAAATATATAAAAGACAAGCTTTCGAGAGTTAACCTCTCATCTTCAGGTCAGAAGCAATAGTAATCAACATGAATATGAATTATGAATATACAGAACATAATAATATAAATGTATGTTGTATATCCCTGATCTGTTTAGGATTCATTGGTCATCCTATGTTTATTTGTTCTGTGTTCTAGTTATCAGGATACATTCTTTACTCCCAGGTCCAACATTTATGACACCCCACTCACCCCGAACAACTTTCTCTTGCTTTAAGTGGTAAACGTTGTCATGCTGATTTAGTATTGCTTCTGACCTGAAGAAGAGAGGTTAACTCTCGAAAGCTTGTCTTTTATATATTTTGTTAGTCCAATAAGAAAGGTATCATCGCATACTATAATACTCCGTTTTTTGTTTTTTTTCTATGAGTGTTTCTATTAGGCTCCTTTCATACGGGCGCCTTCAGTTGCGATCAGCAGGGGAGCAGTGCATGGATTTCCTGCTGATCCGAGCCGTTCAGAATGGATGTCACCACGGGGACATCTGTGTCTGTGATGGCCTATGGGAAGTCGAATGTGAACAGACTTGTGTCTGTTTACATCAGATTACCCCTGATTCGCCACAATCGGGTCCGTCAAAACGGACTATTTAGTTTTCCAGACCTAGCCTGGCACGGTTGTCGCTTGTTTTCGTTTGCATGACTGTGCTTTGAAAACCGCACAGTTTTCAACGCATAGAGATGTCGATGACACCCAAACCGCGCGACAACCACCCGAAAATAGCTCCTGCACCTTTTTGGGCGGCAGGCGATTTTCATCCACGCCAGTGGCGGAACTACCGCCGGTGCAGGCGGTGCGGGCGCCCGGGGCCTCAGGCTCTGGGGGGGCCCAGCAAGTTGCCGGCCGCCGGATCGTTATCCAGCGCGCGGCGGGCCCCTGGTCTCTCCGCCGGGAGTGTCGGATCATCCGTTCATCCGACACTACCTTAGCTCCGCCACTGATCCACGTGACAAACCGCAAAGGTGTCAACAGCCTCCATTGACTTCAATGCAAATCTGTGTTTTTGCTGTGGTTTGATGGCACCAACCTCAGTTGACGGCGTTCAAGCCTTGTGATTGACCATTCAGGCCTGAGCACCTGTAAGCCCTGGTAATTTGTGACGGTTTAGGAGCAGCGGGGAAAATGACAGCATCAAGGCTCAGTTTTCAGCGATGGACTCCCAGGAGAATGCTGCAGAGAGCGACACCACGTCATTATGTAGCGCAGCTCTCTGCGGAGTTTAGGATCTGACCAACGCTGGAGGAAGAAGAGGACCTGTGTTCTCAGCGGACCAGACCAAAGACCCCTGGAGTGGGGGGGATCTGAACCTGGAGTTGGGTTTAAAGATGGCATTGAAGTGCAAGGATTTTGAAAGAAGTTCTTGTTGGTGTCGAGCTGCCTTCAATCACAATTCATTAACAAGATTTAACTATCACTGCAGTCATCATTTCACAGGGTTTATGTTGTCTTTATTGCTGTCTTTTCATTGTATAAATTGTCATCCTCACAGAGCCTCATGGATCCCGTCTATTTCTACATCTATACACTTTTCGGACTGCAGACGCTGCATGTAGCGGCTCTGTACATTAACAGCTGGCTGCTCAGTGGGACTTGGCTTTCTGGATCATTAGCGGCTCTATGGTACATTGTTAACAGGTAAAAGTTCAATTCAGAATCAGCATCTACAAGTCATCAATGACAGGCAGCTAATGGTGTCATTTTTATGCATATCGCAGTAACAGGCCATTTGCTTGGCTCCCGCCAGCAGCTGCTCTGCGTGCTGTTCTGGCGCAACTTTGAAACACTGCTGGCCTCTTGTATAGGAAGCGCAGAGCGGCCTTTCGAAGGTTTCATTGGCTGTCATAGGACATATCTGTTTCTACCTTCTTTTTTTACCAGCTAGCTCTAGAGAGGCGGAGCCAGCTGTCAATCAGTCAGGTGGATCCTGTGCTGTCAGCAGGTAGCAATAGACCCTATATGTGGACTTTGGGGCCCAGGAGTATCTAAGTAAATGTACTCCTGTGTACAAAAGAGAAGTAAAGTTAAAAGATTTAGCTTTACTTCTCTTTCGGGACTTGTTGACACCAGCCCCAGTGCTTTCTGGCCCAATTTTGTCCGGAATGCACTGGATCGAATCCCGTCCGGCTCACTTTGTTCTGGGGCGGCAGGGGGCGTGGCGGTGCATTAAAGTCAATGGCACCGCAGCCACACCTGGCCACGGTGTAATCGCCCGCACATCAATGCCTGTGTTCTGGTCTGGTGCGGTTAGAAAAAATAGTGCATGTAGCATTTTTTCTGACCGGACCGCAACGCAGGCATTGATGTGCCAAGCGATCGCACTGTGGCCGGAGGGCGTGAATGCGGTGCCATTGACTTCAATGCACAGCCACGCCCCCTGCCGCCCGGGATGCGATCCAGTGCGTCTTGGCCAGAATCGAGCCAGAACACACGGACTGGTGGGAACTAGCCCTCAAGGAACCTTCTCCATGTTGTTTGGTGGTGGAGACATCTCTATTGGGCAAAAAAGAAAGTTCTACAAAAGGTATACATTGCAGTCATTGCCTGGGGCACCGCTGACTATTTTTTTCTTTCTTTTACAGAATTGACACCACGCGGGTGGAATTCACCATTCCTCTGAGAGAAAACTGGGCTCTGCCGTTTTTTGCTGTTCAGATAGCCGCCATTTCCCATTTTGTTAGGCCGGACCTAAGCAGAGTGAAGGAGGTGAGCGTCGGAGAGACGAGGGTTGTGGGAGGTGGGACATTCTGGTCTTAATTTAAAGCTAAATTCCAGGCAGCCAACTAAATGCTCAGATAAAATACATAATATGGCAGGGGAGAGCAAGCCCCAGCACTCCAGCTGTTACGAAACTACAAATCCCGTCATGCATTTGATTCTAGGAGTCATGTCTGCGGCTGTCAGAGTCTTGCAATGCCTAATGGGAATTGTAGTTGCACCACAGCTGGAGGGATAGAGATTGCCTATTGCTAATATATGGGATCTGTTTTACCTACCAAAGGATTTGTATTTTTGGCCATACTGTCCTGAGATTTTAACAGCTTTGCCGCATAAAAAAAACCTGTCTGGCAGTTTCACTTTAACATATAGGACTCGTTCCCATCTTGCGACTGGAAAGTAAAAGGGCAGGAGACCTGATGTTTGTAACATTGACAGGTCTTGTCTCTCCCCCAGCCTGCAATTGAAAAGGTGAAAGGAAAAGCAGCAGACCGATGAGCTCCCCTCTCTCACTCTGCTCTCTTTTCCTATCGGCATGCTCATTGCATTGCAGAACAACTGACTGGCTGTTTGTGCTGCTTCTCTCTCTCTCAGTCTGAGCTCTGCTATATAGGGATTGCAAGAGACTGATACCAAGTCAAATTCAGGTACTTAAAGGAGAACTATGAAAATCACTCATCCTCATAGTTCGAGCCGATGTGTGTCAATGAAACTGTCACACGTCGGCTCAATAGATCGGGAAGTAGGCGAACACATACCGACGCTCGCTTACTTCTCGATCATCTCACTGCAGAGAGCGGTGACTGTCAGTCACGGCTCCCCGCAGGGATTCCCCGCTCCGATCCTCCAGCGCTGACTGGCGGAACGGACGGGGGTGGGGGCGGGTACAGCTGGCTCTGCCTCTAGATAAGCAGAGCCCGCTGTCACTCACGCAGCTGGGTGGGTCTTGACAGCATTGTCAGCATCCGTCCCGGCTGTGGCAGTCTCAGTATACAGTGAGCTGTAGCTCGCTATATACTGAGCTTTGGGTCATGGGACAATGCTAGTATATGTCCTCCCGTGACCCTTAGGAGAACCATGGGGGAAAAACACTTACCCTGTAGTTCTCTTTTAATAAAAGATACAATAAATGATGTGGTAATGAATACAGAGCTACATTGTTTGTGTCTTTTTATATCTGCCTGGAGTTCAGCTTTAAAAAAAATGCCAAAAATAAAGTACATAAAGGGACACTTTTTATGTGTGATATGAATGTTTGTTGAGTTCTGTTTTTGTTTTTTGCTTTTTCTTTTTTTGTGGAATTTCCTTTTTTCATTTTTTGTAAATCTTTTTTTTTTTTTTTAATTTCATGTTCCTCTCCAGAGACTGTCCCTCCTTTTAGTGTTCATTTCCACATTCCTCTTCAGCCTCACCTGGCAGTTCAACCAGTTTGTGTTACTCCTGCAAGGTTTGGTGCTGTTTGTCCTGGACTGCCTGGACTTGGTTCCGACCCGTAAGGTAAGTCTGCATGAAGCAATCTGTCCCCTACACGTAGCTGCACATAGAGCTCAATCACTTATGAAGGTTCACTGAGTCCTATAGTAAGGGGCTGCCCCAAAGTGAGCAGTACCTGTACTTTTTCAGGCGTGGGCCGTTTTGTAGCGCGTTCGGGACGGGCGGAAATACGGCAAGGTGGGAACGAGTCCATTGACTCCAATGCAATTTATATTTTTGAGCGTTTTGTAGAGCGTTCTTCGAGCGTAGAACACGCTACAAAACGTTCTGGTGTGAACGAGGGCTAACGGATAGCCATTTAAGCCATAATATCCTAGTAATATATTGGTGCTTTATAAGAAAGGATCATTATTTTAATGACTACAATAACCCATAATCTATACTGTGCTATACTAATTATGTTTTCCAATGCTGTAGGTGAGAAGCCTGTACATGGTTCAGGCGTCCAGTCTTCTCCTGGTGTGTATCCTCCAGTTCGTCAATACCATGATTCTGGGTTCGCTGCTGCTCAGCTTCATCCTGGCTGCCATTATCGCCCAGAGATTACAGGTGTGCAGCCATATCTTTGTCTGATGGCTTTGATTGGGCAACAGAATTCAAATGAAATGCAAAGTAGATATAGAGGCGCTCACGGGTCTTGCAGTGGAGATCAGCCAAAGCCTGTTCCTTGTTGTTACACTACCGAGAAGGACCCTTGCTCTCTGCATGGAAGCAGTGGCCCCTCTACAGCTGTCCGACGCTCCCTTTGCTGAGTTACAGCTAGAGCTCAGCAATCAGCACAGAGCTGTGCTCAGCAGAGAGCCTCTTGCTTTAGCCAGACCTCTGAAGAGAGACTGCTGCTTCCACGCAGAGAGCAATGATCCTTTTCTGCAGCGTGACAGCAGGGAACGGGCTATATTGCTGTGGCTGTAGATACCATGCCAGCTAAATGACTGGTAAGACTAAACCTAGAAAACCGGCGCACCGATCTAAGTGCAGTATAAAGTGACTATTTAATAAGGGTAAAAGTAATGCACTTACATGATATTAAAAAACATCTCGCCTGTCACGCATCAGATGAAAGTCCCATCTCAGCTGCTGGTCCGAGATTGCTATCAGGATAGGGATGTATGTGATCACCCATTGGTAACTGTCAGGTGGGATTTCTCTACACTTTGGGGAGGCTTCCATGCTCTGTTCATTGTGTCACTGGTTCAGGAAGTGAGGGGAGATCTTGATGGAGACGCAGAAAGCAATGAACCATCATCCACTCCATCTAAAGCGTTAAAAACATTCTGAAAGAGATCTACATCATAGTTGGTTATCTTTTTAGTCTGTTCCCTATACTTCTGATACTACCGTCCTTCTATATCTGTCTCTTCTATATTTCAGGTGACATTACATGTATTTGTGTTGTCTTTCAGAAAAACCTTAAGAGCGGCGGACTGCTGAGAAGACTCGGGAACATCGCCATCCATGTAGTGATAGTTCTGTCCCTCGCTACAGTCATAAATAAGTGTGTGAAGGTGAGCAGATATTAATATATGGATACAAATGTATTAAGACTATTCAATCAAAGAGTCAAATGTTATAACAAACCAATCTCAATGAAAGCGTATGTAAACCCCAAGAACAACAGTGTCATATATTGCAGATCCTGCCAATAATATCTATATATATAGATATATATAGATATATATCTATATATATATATATATCACATTTACTATGTTTAAAGGGACAGGAAGTATGAGGAGAAATGAGTGACCAGTCGAGAGTTAAACTTTCATGTTCATCATTTTCTAGTCATGTGTTTCTGTTTCTCCCTGACAGAAAGTCCTGAATCTGCAGTCGGATGAACATATATTCAAGTTCATACAAGCAAAACTGGGCTTTAAAACCAGGTAATAATTTTGTTGGTCAGTCTATAGCATTTGCTTGCTGTGGCTCACATCTATCCGGGGGCCTGGTCACTTTCCGGCCTTGGAGGCGATCATCTATGGCGCTCTGTGACACAGAGACCTACATATTTACAGTAGCGTGGAATGTGGGAAAGATCATGGTGGCAGCCATGACAGTTCATCTGCTTCATCCTACACTGTAGTCATATTTTTCAATGATAAGCTTTGATGACTTTTAGCAATAGCAGTCTGGTTGCAAAAGACCTTTAAAGCTGATCTCCGGACTCCCCTTCAGTCTCGCACAGACAGAATGTGACAGTGACGCTCCGCTAATACTGCCTCCAAGTGCCTCGCTCCTCTCCTGGACTGAAATGGCTTCCTCTGATTTCACTGCACGCTGTCAGCTGTCTCACAATGTGCATTAGAAGCTGCAGCAGATCAGAGAGAGCCCGCCTCATTTCCTGGCTGGTGGATATCAAGCATTATTTAGTCCTTTCTTTCCCATCCAGAATTCCAGTTAGCTAACTTCCTGTATGGGCTGATAGTGCCTCTGCTGCACTTACATCTCAAGTAAGGCTCCATTCACACCTACATGTCAGTGTTTCAGGCCTTTTTTCAGCTGTTGTTTTTAAGTGTTTTTGAACATTTTACATGCGTCAACACGCGTAGGGTTGCCACCTTTTCTTCAAGCGAAACCCGAACACTCCAGCAACGCACGGTGATTTTTGTGGGAGAATGAGTCGTGGCTTGTTCAAATGTAAAAAGTGCCGCCCATTCATATGTAAATATCATAGTTGAGACTATTTTCAGTGGGGGGCAAGTAGCCCCTATCCTAATTTTGGTTGCCCCTGTCTGCCTGACATCTTGTGTCCGGGTTTCTGCTGCCTTGAAACCCGAACACAGCATTCAAAACCCGAACTGTCTGGGTGAATCCTGGACAGGTGGCAACCCTAAACACGCGTTTGTCATGCGATTTTTCCAAACTTTTTTATTGACAAGAAGGCATTGTATCACAAGTATAGCAACGTTTCAGGGACACCTAGGTTCCCTTCATCAACATATTAAGCCTGATGAAGGGACCCTAGGTGGCCCCGCCATGATGCCTATTCGTCATTAAGGCCCCATTCACACTGAGCGATTCGATATTGCGCAAATGGTTGCATTGAGCAAACTAGAATCGCGGCAAAATCCGCTCCAAAAAGGGTCCTGCCGTAGCGACGCACGACCCGCGACAGCGACGGACAGAGCCCCATTGCCATGCATTGGAGAGCGATATTGCGCGGTAAATACCCGCGATATCGCGCGATAAATCGCTTAGTGTGAATGGGGCCTTAAGACGAATCTTGCACATACTGTATTTCTTCGGTGTGCTAGTGACAGTTTGTTTCTGTACTTATCCAGGCGGCGCCATCCGCCATCCCTTCAGGAGCCAACACCAAGGGGTATATCGGTCAGGAGTGCGGCTGGTCACACACCGGGTTTCTAAGAGTTTTGTCGCACATCTTTCATCTTGCGCTGTCCTCCATTTTGTTCCTCAGAGTTTCTTTCGCAAAGAGGCAGACTGGCTCTTGCGTAACAAATGTGCAACAAAAGACTCCAAAAATGCACAAAACTGCTTGTTTCGCACGTTTTCATTAAAGTCTATGGTGCCAAATGTGCAGAAATCTACAGAAAAGTGGCACATGTACGTTTTCCAGTGATAGGCATTTTGCTGCAGGCGACAGGCCACTCAGATGTGAACAGGGGGGCCATTGAAAACAATGGGATTCGTTTGGTGGAGTGTTGTAGTGCTTAGCCCTTCGAGCTACAAAACGCCTAGGTGTGAACAAGGACTAATGTTGTCAGCCCTGCTCAGTTCTTCCCTGCTGGACTACAGAAGACGACCTCCCTGTTATTTTATGGAGATGGGGAGGCAGAACCGTAGCTAGCTCCTTTTGCACCCGAGGCAAGAACAGAAAATTGTGCCCCTCAACAGACGTGTGCGGTATGTGACGTCGTGCGCCCGCCTCCAGGATGGCGGGGCAGATGCGCAGAATGCACTGGAGGCCAAATCCAAAATGGAATAAAAATTAGTTTCATTTGACGAAACTATAGAAAATGTTTTAGTTTCTGTTCATTTCGCCCGAAAACAAATGTTTAGTCTTTGCACATGTCTAGTAATGTGTGTGTGGTTTTGGGGGCTTCAGGGGAAATATCAGGGGTCTAAATAGACCCCTGACATTTCCCTTTTGAACTAGAAAAAGAGATTGAGGACACAGAGTTCTCTGCCCATACAGGTGGGGAAGAGCAGCAGGGATCCGAGGAGAAGCTCCTCTTTTCCTTGCCCGTTGGCCGCCTGGCGCCCCTGTCGCCAATGGCGCCCTGTGCTCGTCCATGGCAACAGGTGCGAGGGGGCGCAGCCAGGCCGGCCCTGGCTGCACCCCCTCTCAACTGTGCCTGAGGTGAGTGCTTCACTCGCCCCATGGTAGCTACAGCCCTGTGGGGAGGTGTTCAGATACAGTGGGTAATGGTTAGCACTTCTGCCTTGCAGTTCTGGGGGTCCCCGGTTGAAATCCCTGCAAGACGTTTGCAGATAGTGTCCTGCGTGGGTTTCCTCCGGGTACTTCGGTTTCCTCTCACACTCCAAAGACATGCTGGATGGTTAATTGGCTCCTGTCTAAATTGGCCGTGCATGTATGCATGTGAGACGGAGACCTTAGATTGTAAGTTCCTCGAGGGCAGGGACTGCGTCAATTGTCGGCGCTATATACTAATAATAAATTGTATTTCTATTTTATTTTGCCCAGACATACGCTTTCATGGCTGAACGCTGTAGAGGTCTCCATACGGATCTGTAGCCTTTCCTTAGTATGATGCAATCTCTGTAACATAAGATTATGAATGATTTTTCCTTTGCAGAGATTTCGATGCCAATCTGTATCTGTGTGAGGAGCCCTTCCAGATGCTGCCATCTGACACATTCCAGAGACTCGCCGACTCATTTCTTCTCTACCCTTTTGTATTTGTTCTTTCCATTCTGATCATTGCAGCGTCCGTCGCCGCTTTCCACAAACTGAGGTGAGTTACTGTGTATCAGAAATGTTATTTATATCCTATGTTTAAAGCTGAACTTCGGGCTCCCCTTCAGTCTTGCACAGTTGTAGCGGCTCCTCTCCTGGACTGAAATGGCTTACTCTGATTTCACTGCACACTGCGAGCTTCCAAGCATTTACAATCATCAAGTTTGCAAACAGCTGGCTCCAACTCTCCCAGCTCAGCTTCTCGAAACTTCCTGTTGAGTATAAGATCACAAGGGACAGAGCAGTCTCTACCAGTTGTTGGTCTACTAGCTAGAAGGAAGGAGCGGGGAGAGGGGCAGTAGATTGCCTTGCTGGGTCTGTGTGTTTGTACTAGCACACACATGGGTAGCTCCTTAGGAACCTGCCAGGGGAAGGTGCAAGGGTGGCTCCTTCCTCTTGCAGGTTCCTATGGAGCCACCCTAAAACCGAATATCAGTGCTCAGGGAACCAGCTGATTCTGCAGGAAACTACAATTTTTAAACATCAAGGAGCCGCCTCCGTTGTAAGTGAATTCATCAGCATTTGAAAAATACTGAGACCATCGCAGCCGGGATGCATTCCGACAATACTGTTGAGATCCACTCTGCTGTGTGAGTGACAGCTGACTCTGCCTATCTAGAGCTAGCTGTGCCCGCCCCCTCCCCAGTCCATTCTTCCAGACAGTGCTGGAGGATCAGAGAGGGGAGGAGGGGGGGGTAAATTTAATATCACTTTAAGGAGTACATTTATTCATTGCTGTAGCATTGTGTAAGATGGACTGTAACTCTAGATGTCTGCCACTTTCCAGCACCTCTTCAGGCACCAAACAGAAGGATTGGAGTGAAAACAGGACTTGCCTCGTCCGAGCAGACGTTGCCTATAACTTAGTACATAACGTGATGTTTGGTTGCCTGGCTGTCAGCACAATGCGGTAAGTCTGGTTCACAGACCTGTAATGGCTGCATTGCGTTGTAGGGTTACGAGCTTATGGATGATGAGACAAACTCTTCTTATTGCAGAATGAAATATCTCTGGACCTCCCACATGTGTGTCCTGGCTGCCTTTGGAATCGCCAGCAAAGACGTTTGGGGAGTTGTGTTGCGAGTGATCCGTCTCTACACTCCCCAGAGGGTTAGTTTCATGACTTTCAGGGATAACGCTCTCCTAGATTCCAGCGTTGGCTATGTTACTGCTCCTTGTTGCAGTGGATCAAGCCCTTAGTTATTTAAAGTGGACCTTTCAATAATCTTACAGATCTACATGAATATATTCTTGATGTCACAATATTCAGTAGCAGTATCGTTAGGGGAAAAAGCTCCACCTTTTATTATTGAAAGGCGTCCATGAGCTCCAGTCCTGTAACTTTGCCTAGGCTGAGATGATACTATCAGTCTGCTGCAAGCAGCACGCTACATGTCCTCAGCCTCCTCTACCCCAGTGATCAGACTGTATATTGTAGCAAGTCACAAGGTGAGAGGCTGTGGCAGGGGCTATTCTGTGTCAGACATTTATGAACCCAGCTAAAAACTGCACAGCCACCAAGATTTAGATAGTTGTGTCATCTCTGAGCCGGCATTCAGTCTAGGAAGTAGATGGTGACCCTCGGTGATGCCTAAACAAAGACGGCTCCATCCTAGAGAGAAAAGCAAATGAACGCATTGTCAGGGGGAGTTCTGTGATCTATGGGAGAGGGAATACATGCCAGGAAGTGTTACACTTACACATTAGGTATTGTACATGCATGTTACATGAAATAATATATCTATTGCTAGGTTCACTTTAAGAGAGTTCTTAGTGTTCATCATTCACCATGCCACGTCACTTGGGAACAGGGCCCTTCCTACAATGAGGCGGTTGTCTCAAGTGGCATCTCATTGGGTCACATGGTGGGGGTATTGTAGGTGTGCCTGCTGCCCCCTTTCCAGCCACACCGTCCCAGGTTGCTAAGAGCTCTAAGCAGTCTGTGATGCTCCGGCCGCCATCCCACCCAGCTCCTGCAACCAGTGACGTCAGTGAGCTGGGCAGCACTCCGGACAGGTATCGTGCACAACCACCCCATCCTGGTAACGTGCACTGATGTGCAAATGTAGGGACACCCCTGCTCAGAAGTACCTTTTCCACATATTGGTTTGAACACTCCTCCATCCATACACTGTATTCAGGACTTGATCTTCCTCAGCCAAATTCTGCCTGCGTGTCCTGGATGCATCCGCTCAGGCTCAGGACCACCGAAAATCAAACTCTATAGCTTTATACAGGAAACCTGATCTCTCAGCTGTTAAAATGTAACTATTGTCAAAAATAAAAAATCATATATATGCTGCGGAATATATATATCCCGATCTTTTACAGGGTTATTCACAAAAGGGTGAGGAGTTTGTAGAAGGCCGGAGAAGTGAGCAATCTAGGACAACATCGCTGCTCCGGAAAGTGAGCTGAATTGGAGAATGTTTCCAAATCAGCGATGTTGTCCTAGATTGTTCACTTCTCCTGCCTTCTCCAAACTCTTCACCCTTTTGTGAATAACCCCTTAGAATATGTGCATTAAGTCCCCCTAAATACCTTCCCATCATGCAAAAGAACCGCCTGCCTTGATTTCCTTCAGATCGGGGGCTACGCTGCAGTATGCCTTATGAATTTCTTCCTGCGTAGCCACCCTTTTAAAATCGCTGCAAGAAGAGACGACATGTCCACATGTCCACATACAATGCCTCATAGCGCTGTCCCCTCTGCAAAGCTGTACGTTAATGAATGCAGGGAGACATCGGCAATGTTTGATTATGGCAAAGCCCAGGAAAAAAGCTGAGGTATAAGCTGCACTGCTACCCAGTATCAGTGGCCGCAGCTGGACCATCAGCGGGACAATATGAGGCACATGGCAAGGTAAGATACATTCTTCTACTCAAACTAAGATAGTGTTGTGCTTTGGGACAACTGTATAAGAATGGAATTCCCCTAACTTTGGGAGATTCCCCCCTAACTTTCTGAATGACCAATAATATGTGTCATGCTATCAAATAAATAATACCGTGATATTTAGGGATGCACCAATACTGATACTAGTATCGGTGCCGATACAGAGTATTTGGGCGGGTACTCGGGCAAGTATTGGGCTAGGCATCAGGAGTATTTGGGCGAGTACTCCCGATGCCTAGCCCGATACTTCCGATATCAGCAAGCCGGGTGGCTCGCTGCCCAGCTTCCTGATTGGCCGGAAAGCCGGCTCCATGCTCCCTCGTCACTTGGTTTGGCATGGAGACTGCTTCCTGGGCAATCAGGAAGCCAGACGGCATGTAATGACTCGACACCCAGTTTCCTGATTTTGTCGGAAAGCTGGCCAATCAAGAAGCGGGGCAGCAAGTCATTACTTGCCCCCCCCCCCCAGCTTCCTGTTGGCCAGAAAGCTGGCTCTATGCTTCCTCGTCACTTTGTGATGGCTTCCCGGCCAATCATGAAGCTGGGTGCCGCGTAATGACTTGCCGCCCGGCTTCATGATTGGTCGGAAAGCTGGCCAATCAGGAAGTCGACCGCAGAGTCATTACCCGCCCTCCGGCTTCCTGATTGGCCAGAGAACTGGCTCCACGCTTCCTCGTCACCTGGTGACGAGGGAGCAGGGAGACGGCTTTGCGGGAAGTCGGGTGGCGAGTCATTACACGCTGCCCGGCTTCCTTTATGGGACTTTCTGGTATCGGTATTCGGAAAAAAAAATATCGGTACTCGATACCGAAAAACCGGTATCTGTGCATCCCTAGTGATATAACCATGAACACTAGATATCTAGTAAAGTGAAATCATAAATAATATTGAGCACTTCCAAATAAACAACTAACTTTCTACTGCATCTCTGGGACAGGAAGCAAAGGGAAATTTCCCCAATGATACACAAGCAGAAAATAATAAACCAGCAGCCCGGGTTACAATCCTTCCCCGCTCTTCTCTAAAACTAAAGTTTTGGCTGAACATTCAGCGGAGAGCTAATAATGAGGCAATATGAGATCTGCTCACTAGGTGGCAGTATGGAGCTACTTTCAGGGGATTTTGCAGAAAATAGAATAGTTACCATTGATCTAGTTAAAGTGACACTAAACTCAGGAGTTAAACCTTAAAGTGACATTAAACCCTCAGATTTTTTAACATAAACCAATACTGTAATGTGCGCCTTACTGTAATCCATGGTTGTTTCCCTTCTCTTTGCTGCTCTTCCTTTTAAATCTTCATGTCTTCTCATGCTGGGGGAGAACTTCTGTTTTGCAGCAGACTGCCTTGTCTCTGGAATGGATACATGGTGTCTGTGTGTAGGTTCACAACCTGAGCCAGCACTACAGGAAGAGGCACTCAGCTGCAAAGGGAAGTTCTCCCCAAGCATGAGAAGACATGAGGATTTAAAAGGAAGAGCAGCAAAGAGAAGGGAAACAACCATGGATTACAGTAAGGCGCACATTAAAGTATTGGTTTATGTTAAAAAATCTGAGGGTTTACTGTCACTTTAAGGTACTTGAATGTATTTTTAACTATGAACAACAATGTATCTTATTTGTGTGTCACTCGGCTGCAGATCCTCCAATCATCTCTGAATTGGTGCTGACACTGTCCTTCCTGCTGGAGGGGGGCTACTATTGTTCCCCATGGTCCCTGTGTGTGTTGTGATGTAGTCACCGCTCCACTAGTTTTCTGGCTGTCCCGTTCTCCCTCTCGCTTCAATCCTGTGTATCACTTACCTGGAATAAGTATGCAGATCAGGACATTTGGCTTTACAGATATGCATATTAATTCCAAGGCAGTGTCCTAAATATTAATGGGTCAGTGTACCAGCCAGACCCCTGACATCTTCAGAAAGGGGTCAGCAATGGCAGCCCGGTGTGTCTCTCTCATGAAGGTCTTGGAGGAAGACAAAACTCTTCTGGCTCCTATACTTGCTGTGTATGATGTGCTGTGTATTATGTTGCAGGCTACCGGGATCCGATATTTGGTGTCATTGATTCTGATCGTTTCTGTGGTCTTCAAGGTGAGGATTTTTGTATTATTATTTGCATAGTAACAGAAAAGAGAATGGGGGGGGGGGGGG